TCATCTTCAGAGATTCATGTCTCATGGAGAAATGATAGAAGGAACAGAAAAGAAAACGGAGGATGCATTTCACCACTTTGTTGCATTGTTTAGGGGGAGGGAGAGAAACAATGATCTTTGCTTCGCTTGTGACCAAGTGCTCACTCACATTTAAGTACAATCACAACAACTGCTATACAGAACAGAATCCATCGTACAAAAAGAGAAGTAACTGTTCAAATTTACTATCAGTAAAGGAAATTGACACCTGACCTTTATCTCATGTAGGAAAATGACCTCATCTTCCTAGCCAGCACTTACACACTGTCCACAAGACAGCTAAAGAGGAATCATTGGATCAAGAGTTGGAAGAAGGAGCTTTATGGGCCATCAGGACCAATCCCTATAGGGAAGATTTGCAATTGCACACACTTTGTTGCCCTGGATTTTCTCACTACCAGCTCATCTTGCCTTTTTTTACAACTAAACAATTACCTCTTTGAATATTAAGTAAAGCTCAGATTGGTTTGTTTGAATTGGCAGCCCTTTCCAATTTGTTCATTTCCAGAACAAAAAAGTTTAATCTTATTTTCAATATATATATGTATCGAAAATATATATTGAAAATACAAATTGCGTCGTTCGGGGCTACATGGGGCATGGCTCCAAAGTTGCAAATCAAGAACAGGGCGCCCCTAGATTAGTGCTTCTATAAAACAATCATGCCTGTGATGACATTTCAAAAGATATCAACCATGGATGGTATTTACATAGAGGTTTGCAAAAACTGTACACTGCAATTGGTTATATTATTTTATAGGACATTATGTCAGAGCTGGAAGAGGGACGTCTCACACATTGCACAACCACCACCACTGTTTGCCACTGAATGCTCAAGGGGCCCTCAAGCTAAGCAACATTCAGGCTGTAGACCACCTCCAGCTTTCTGACAAGTGTAACTGATTGAAAACAAAACCAACACACTTTTTAACACTTGTTTTACACGTCCATACAGTCCACCTAAAGCAGGCCCTAAGAATGGATGTTCTGTCGATTGGAGAAGAGACATGACAACCTTTTGATGACGAAGATGAACAAGAAAAGTAACAAGACAGTTTTTATGTATGTAATGGTTAGCCCTCATGAAAGTCCTGAATATGAACCAAGGGTAGGGGAGAGGATATCTCAAAATCAGCAACATTTTGTTGAAACGTTCACACCTAGCTCCAGCAGACAAGAGCCCTTTGTCTCACCCTGGTCATTCCACAGATATATAAACCCCTTTTCCTAGTTCCAACAGATCTCACTACCTCTGAGGATGCTTGCCATAGAGGCGAAACGTCAGGAGAGAATGCCTCTAGACCATGGCCATATAGCCCGAAAAAACCTACAACAACCCAACATTTTGTTTCTTGGGATGCTTCCAATGGAGGCTATCATGGAGTTGCCCTGGAACACCTAACAAATTCCTAGAATGTCTTAGTCCTTCGAGGTGCCTCTGTGGTAACTTTTTTGCTCCTTTTAAATGCAGTGATCTGGTTAGGTTGTGAGACCTTTCACAAATAATGATTAGCATCCCAAATGTGCACCCACTTTTGATCGAAAGAAGTATTTAACTCGTTCTTGAACATTTCACAGAGGACCTTATCACATTCGGAAATACTCTGTTTCTGAAACGGTTTGAGAATGATTTCGAACGGGTCCCAACACATGATGTTTGTCCTATCCCGTCAATATTCCATAGGAATCCGTTTGCAAAGCGTCGCAGAAATGGATTCTGGAACATGGAAGACTCACAGCAATGCAGAAATGGATTGTTTGCAGATTGAATTCGAATCGTGTTTTTTGAAATACTATGAATTCTTCCATTGCTGAATCATTGTTTTTGTGTGTGTTAGGAAAATATGTATGTTTCCCATCAGCAATTACTCTTTTAAAAAGGTCATCGAGTGATATAGGGGGTGTTTTGAATGGATTGGGAAAAGCCAGCCTTCCGTGGTGTGATGAGTCAAAGCGCAGAATTTTCGAATCATAAGAATTGTAATAATCAAGTGTGAGGAGGAGAGTATGCATCCCATCTCAATACAGTATGCAAAAAAAATATGGGACGCATACTGATATAAACAGATTATATCCCAATGTGATAAGGTCCATAATCTTGCCAAAGCAGCAACTGTGAGACCTGACTATTAATATTTGTTTGTCACAATAAGAATGGGACTAGTGGTCTACAATTGGCTGGAGAATCATAGAATCATAGAATCAAAGAGTTGGAAGAGACCTCATGGGCCATCCAGTCCAACCCCCTGCCAAGAAGCAGGAAAATTGCATTCAAATCACCCCTTGTTCCACACAGAATATTATTGTCAATTTAAAAAGAAATCAAGATCATTCATTTGAATTCTGGATCCAAAGATACACACAATTTGTTCAAATAGGTTGGAGGGCTGCTACAACATTTACACAATCAAACATTAAGTACAAATTGAGTTATGTTACAACAAATTAAAATGTAGGTCTGCAGACTTCGGTTGTAGTATTACTGATTTGGATGGCATCACCTTTTGGGATTTCTGATTATCACTCAATTTGGAACAAATTACTGCATCGGCAAACTTGTCTTATGCTCTCCATCTGCTTATTGTGCTTGTCATGGATCATCTGTCCACTACTAAAAGGATAAGGGTAGGTTTCAAAATGAGCAACCCTTCTGCATTATGGTCCTGGATATGTTTCATTGCTCTTTACTAAACTGAGATCACAATGACGTGAACAAACTTTTAGCACAGATCACTGTGAATATTTGGTACTCTTCTTTGTGCATCCTTATTGCAAAAATCAAGTCAACTCGAGTAAACTAATGAACTTTGGGGTCAAAAGCCTTCATCAGCATTCCCCAAGAAACCGATCACTTTGTTTAAGTGAGCAAACACATCCAAAATCATCCACCCCCTTTTAATATGGACTGGAAAATCCCAACTTGCAATTTTTCCAGTGTACACAACAAAAGTTATGATCTCAGTTGGAGTCACAGGACTATTGTTATGCTATCCACTCAAATAAAGCACTCCAATGAGCTAATATATTTGAACTGCAGTCTGTAAATGTTTGTTTTAAAATTATAGTTCCCATACTTCCATTGTCAGTGTACATGGTCATAGGGTAGTTGGGGTGTTATAGTCCAAAAAGTATATTTTGCATGAAGTTAGGACGGATAATATAGGTTTAGTCTCTCTTATCTAGAAAGTCAAAAGGCTTCAAAATCCAAAATTGTCCACATTTTTGTGTGGGAGTGTGAGATCGTAACATGCTTGCTTTCTGATGGTTCAATGTACAACAAACGTTTGTTTCATGCACAAATTATTTAAAATATTGTGCATAATATTACCTCCCAACTGTGTGTACAAAGTTAAAGTTTGTGTTTAAACTTTGTTCCCATCTCCAAGATACATCGTTCCAAAATCTGGAAAAATCCAAGCCTTTCAGATAAGGGATACTCAACTTGTATTATCAAACCCAATTCTGTTTGTTTACAATTGCATGAGTTACAGAATGTGCAATACAGTACCATCTCAGATATCTTATACATATTACCAAACATAAATGACTGCCAAATGTTATACTAGGTTCCACATGAATTCTGCATGGGGCAAAAAGTCAAGGCTAACTACATTATTCTGGATAAATTAGGCACTGTTAAAGACCCAAAGGCAGGCTTCAAAATGAGCAATCCTGCTGCATTTATGATCCAGGATATGTTCTAATGGTCTTTAATATAAGGTTAATTACACTCTGTATTTGGGTAATTGTATGGGGGTAGAGCAGTTAGATTACATTAAGAGTACAAGACTTTTAGAAGAAAGGGACATACTGGTTAATCCAGTCATGTTGTTTAAGCAAGGGTATTTTGTGATTCCATACTACAACTAATAAGGTTCTCTATTGCCTGATTTGACATAACCCAAACAGAATAGCTTAAAATGTCTTGAAACATTAAGCAGGAATATGAAGTCAGGCCATCAAATGCTAATCAAGGTGGTCAGTTGAAACATTCACACCTAGCTCCAGCAGACAAGAGTTCTTTGTCCCACCCTGGTCATTCCACAGATATATAAACCCAATATTCCTAGTTCCAAAAGACCTCACTACCTTTGAGGATGCTTGTCATAGATGCAGGCAAAACATCAGGAGAAAATGCCTCTAGAACAGTGTTTCTCAACCTGGGAGTCGGGACCCCTGGGGGGGTCACGAGGGGGTGTCAGAGGGGTCTCCGAAGACCATCAGAATATACAATATTTTCTATTGGTCATGGGGGTTCTGTGTAGGAAGTTTGGCCTAATTCTATCATTGGTTGGGTTCAGAATGCTCTTTGATTGTAGGTGAACTATAAATCCCAGCAACAACAACTCCCAAGTGTCAAGGTCTATTTTCCCCCAAACTCCACCAGAGTCCACATTTGGACATATTGAGTGTTCGTGCCAAGTTTGGTCCAGATTGATCATTGTTTGAGTCTACAGTGCTCTCTGGATTTAGGTGAACTACAACTCCCAAACTCAAGATCAATGCCCACCAAGCCGTTCTAGCATTTTCTGTTGGTCATGGGATTTCTGTGTGGCCAGGTCTGATTCAATTCCATCGTTGGTGGAGTTCAGAATGCTCTTTGATTGTAAGCGAACTATAAATCCCAGCAACTACAACTCCCAAATGACAACATCACTCTGTCCCCAACCCCACCAGTATTCAAATTTGGGCGTATCGGGTATTTGTGCCAAATTTAGTCCAGTGAATGAAAATCCATCCTGCGTATCAGATATTTACATTACGATTCATAACAGTAGCGAAATTACAGTTATGAAGTAGCAACACAAATAATGTTATGGTTGGGGGTCACCACAACATAAGGAACTGTATTAAGGGGTCACGACATTAGGTAGGTTGAGAACCACTGCTCTAGACATGGCCATATAGCCTGAAAAAACCTACAACAACCCAGTATGAAGTCATCAATAGATGAGACATTGTTTTTGCTGGAAACTGTAAATTACTGACTATTGTGGATTACAGACCAACACTTCTGTTCAGTATATGAATTTAATTGTGTGCTGGTCTGCGACAAAGTTTTATAAAAATACTGACAATGTTCAGCCAGTCTTTGACTGAGCGTGAATGGGAGCATAATGCTGCCTGTCTGGACTGATGACCTTAACCTGATTCCGCATGTGGTCAGCTCCACTATGTCTATAGTAGACATTAGGTGTTTCTGATGTGACACCAGGGCCTGCTTAGTGTAGGCTTTTAAAGGCATAACATCAAAAGAGTTTAGAGCAGTGGTTCTCAGCCTGGGGTCCCCAGATGTTTTTGGCCTCCAACTCCCAGAAATCCCAACAGCTGGTGATTTGGCTGGGATTTCTGGGAGTTGTATGCCAAAAACATCTGGGGACCCCAGGTTGAGAACCACTGGTTTAGAGCACCTAGGAACAATACTGGTTCACATCCTTCTGGGGAACCTTTGAATGGAGCTATCATTCATGGTTAGATTACTAAAATTCTTAAAGGCATGACAATCAAAGATGGAAGCATCAAACCAATGCAATAGAGTTTTCCAGTCACTTATTTTAACCTAGCAGAGCATGCAATAGCATGTAGCTTTCTGCAAACTTTGAATTTAGATACTGAGATCAAGGCTAGCAGGAAAGTGGGAGATGGTCAAAAGGTTAGGCCATTGTGGATTCTGATGTCTCTTAACCAGAGAGATAGACTATTGGACATTTTAATCTGTGCCACCCACCCAAAAGAAGATACCAAATGCTCCTTGAAAAAGAAAGACTTGATGGGCATAGTCTTGACATGAATTTCCCATAAACCCCTCAGACTTCAGTATTTAGTCCCACCAACACAGTGCTTGCTGTTCTCAAGGCCTTCGGGTTCTTCCATTTCTCACCCCAGATATTCTTCCATATTGTCTCTCAAGAGCAACAGAATGGTGCTCAGTTTCCTGTTTCATGTATGTGACACCAGGAGCTGCGTAACCCATGATATCATTTTTTCTTAGTTTGCGGTGGCGCTGTCCAATCACTAAAGTGTTTCAGGATCGGCATAGAACAAGTTAGTATTGTGCTGCTTCTTCCACGTCTAAACGGTGTCAGACTCTCACGATGATTAAATGTATGTTCACACATACACACTCACACACGCATACGTACACACAGAATGCAGGCTGGAGAGCAATGCTTTTAAAAAGTGACAACGACGCCATCACATGGTTACTCTACATCACTGTCTTCCTGGTTGCTAGGGCTGGTGAGTTTGAAAAAAAACCACACATTTTTTCCCCCCAGTCGGTTTGGTCCAGTGGAGTAAAGTCACCCTCAATGAGATATATAGATATAGATATAGATAGATATATATAGATAGATATATGTTTTAAAAAAATATCAGCAGGAAGGTTCTCTGGAAATAGATTCTGTTTGATGTCGCTAGTCTGTCTTTTCTGTTTTGCCCTCTTTCACAGCAGCCTCTGAAGTTTTCCGCAGGGGGGCCTTCTCTGAGTTGGCATGTCCTTGGCCAGATTCTGCTGCTCCACCATTTTTGTGCGCTGTGTGCTTTTCCAAGTAGTTCAGCATTTCACTGAGAACAGTTTGGAAAGTGCTGAGGGCAGCACATATAGCTGGAGTTCCAAAGCCATGAGTGATCAAACTGTAAAGCAGGGAGAAAGAGAGAGAAATATTGAAGAGTTTACTGCACACAGATTCTCATTTTGCTGAAATTGAAGACTTGTCCGCTAAAATATTTATTACTGTTGAAAGAAGATGGGGAAGGGGGGGGGGGGGGAATCAAGGCCAGATACAACTTCAAAGGTTGATTTTTCTGGTTGGAGGGTTAGAAGCATCTGGAGACCACATCTACAACTGGGTGTAAACCCTGCATTGCAACAGATACCCTTGAATTCCTCTGACATCAAGTGTGACTGATCATAAAATTGGTTGCCAATGACCCACATTACTCATAGTATACAAAGATCAACGAAAGCAGCAGGTTCCATTTATAAGCTGTACCATCATAGATACCCAGGCACAATCAGGCCTGCCCTGGAAGTCTTTAAAACAAAAATAATGCCAACACTTATATTTGGGGCTGAAATTTGGGGGCACATCAATTTGGCCAAGATCGAAGCCTTCCAAGTTAAGCAGCTTTACACCTTCCTGGGCCTTTCCAGAACAACACTGATGGTAGCAGTAAGGGCTGAGCTAGGAATACTCCCAGTAAAAGCTCAAATCTTAATGAGACAGTTTAATTACTGGTCAAAAGTAAACTCTATGGATCCCAGTAGACTTCCTCGCCTATGTCTAAAGGATCAAGTCCAGCATGACCAGAAGTCATTGTGGATAGCGGCTCTGAATAATGAGTTGGCTGGATTTGGTCTGCCTTTGCAATTTCTGGGTGTTTTGGGTCCGGGGGCAGGGCAAAGAAAAGTACATGGCCTTGGCGTGTCTCCAGGCTAGTAGTCAAACTTTCACAGCATGTCACCCTTGCATTGTTGGCTTAAAGTACTCCTGGGGGATTCATCAAACCCTAGCCAGGAAACCTAGCTACATTTCTGAGAATAGGAGACACTGCTCAAGCCCAGTGTAAACAAGGATTTGTCATAAAGGTGATCCCAAAGAAGTTACTGCTATAGTTTGCCCAACCCTTTGCTCTTATCACAATACTATTTGACGCTATATTAGCATCTTGCCGATGCACTCAGCTGTCATACTGAGGCTGGATCTACACTGTCATATACAATCCAGTTTCTGAATCCAGATTATTGGCTTTGAACTGGATTATATTGCAGTGTAGACTCATATAATCCAGTTCAAAGCAGATAATCTGGATTTAGAAACTGGATTATGTTGTAGCATAGATTCAGTTTGGCTTGGATTGGTAAGGTTCTCCATGCCTCCTTTGCTATATCTTGAGGTTAAGTAATAAACCAATAAACCTTAACTCAGCCTGATGTATGAATTCATCAGATGGCCATGAAAGCATCTGTTGAAAAACTGCTGGCGTCTTCCCGTTGCTGCTGCTTCTGCCATTTTTGGACATCAGTAGCAAACACTGGTAGCCAATGATTTCATGAATGGCCATTTCCAGTCCCACCGTGTGCCATTGTTTAAAAGAGGAATCCACAAACTTTTTAAACAGAGGGCCAGGTCACAGTCCCTCAAACTGTTCGAGGGCCAGGTCACAGTCCCTCAAACTGTTCATTTAAAAAAATGAACTGTTCATTCATTTTTTTAAATGAAAGAATTCGTATGCACACTGCACATATCTTATTTGTAGTGCAAAAAACCCACTTATAAACAATACAATAATTAAAATGATAWACAATGTTAACAAATATAAACTTAGTAGTATTTCAATGGGAAGTGTGGGCCTGCTTTTGGCTGATGAGATAGGATTGTTGTTGTTGTTGTTGTGTGCTTTCAAGTCGTTTCAGACTTAGGTTGACCCTGAGCGAGGGCTGGGTAAATGACCTTGGAGGGCCATATTCRGCCCCCGGGCCGTAGTTTGAGGACCCCTGCTCTAAACGGTTCAGGACCTGCCTATCTTCGTGACTGCATCCTCCCCTATGAGCCCACGCGGTCCTTAAGATCTTCCGGGGATGCTCTTCTCTCGCTCCCACCCCCATCTCAGGTGTGGCTGGTGGGCACGAGAGAAAGGGCATTCTCGGTGGTGGCCCCTCGTCTCTGGAACTCCCTCCMCAGGGAGATTAGGCTGGTAYCCCCCCATCCACATTCCGTAACGACTTAAAAATGTGGATATTTCTTTGTGCATTTSATCGATCACTCCTATGACAGATGATCTGAATCACGACATGAATCATGACCTGAATCCAAATTCCTATATTTCATTACTACATTTTTAAGTTAAGCTGAACTGATCCTGTTTAATTGCTCTATTTCTATGCCATTATTCCTATGCCATTATACGTTTCTATCCACCTTATTGACCAGTCTATCCTTTAACTAGTTTTGCATATTGGGCCCCTCCCTCCCCTCCAAAAATGAGTCTGTTGTTGCTTTTGATGCTTGTTTATTATTGCTTATGCTGTTTTCTGCTACTTTAATATGGTATTGTTCTGCTTTTAATTGAATGTTGCCTTGGGCTTGGCCCCATGTAAGCCGCCCCAAGTCCCTTCAGGGAGATGGAGGTGGGGTAGAAAAATAAAGTTCTTCTTGTATTGTCGAAGGTTTTCATGGCCGGAATCACTGGGTTCCGTGATTCCAGAATCACTAGGTGTGAATGTTTCAACTGACCACCTAGCTCCAGCAGACAAGAGTCCTTTGTCTCACCCTGATCATTCCACAGATATATAAACTCTTTTTCCTAGTTCCAACAGACCTCACTACCTCTGAGGATGCTTGCCATAGATGCAGGCGAAACATCAGGAGAGAATGCCTCTAGACCATGGCCATATAGCCCAAAAAAATCTACAACAACCCAAAGTTCTTCTTTTTCTTCTTCTTGGCTAATACCAACAGGAAGATGGTATTATCAGAGAAGAGCTGTGGAGCTAAGGCGATGCTCTTGCTCTTTCCTGAACACTATGTCCCTGACCCAGATCATATTTGAGAAAAGACAAGGGCGTCAGATTTCTCTCTGGTAAGCACTGCATTGCACTGTGAATTAAAGTTTTCATCGCCATCTGTTTTCCTTAAAAGCTTCCTACTGGTTAGCAATGAAGTATTTCCTGATATGGAAGCCCAATGGTGGAGAAAGTTTCACTTAGTCATTTCCTCCTACTAGCCATCTGGCAAAAATATAGGAATAACATCAGTGGAAAAAAATGTTGGTAGTCTACATTTTACAACTCTGACAGGTCAGGAGCTACCCAATGTCTGTAAATCATCTGTCTTGGACTGAACCATCACAAGATCTCTGATCTTCTAGATTGAAAATCAATTGTGATGTAAGGATGAAGTGACTGTCATTTTCTTATGCTCTTATTCATGCAATATCCCAGCAGCCATTCTCTTTATGCATCATGGGCTTATCAATTCTCTTGTTGGGGTTAAGTAGAAACTAGACTTGTGCACAGAATTCATTTCTTCCATTTCCTACAGAATTGCCAATTCTGAACTTGATCCTAACAAGTAGGGAGGACTTGGTCATTGAAATCAAAGTAGTGGGTACTTTAGGGCAAGGAACCATGCAACACTACATACAATTCTCAATTGAGCCAAATATCGCTGCCTATTCAACCACATTGTTTCCCCCTTTTGAGCTCCTCCCTCAGAAACATATTTTCCTACTACTTATCTCATCCACAGTTTTATCAATTTTATTCTGTGCATTTGGCCTGCCTACTGTGTATTATTTCTCTATTATGTTATTTTGTAACTGTTTGTTATTTCATGTATTTTATTTTGATGCTATTTTTTTGCTTCTTTGTATATTATTTGGGTTTGGCCTCATGTTAGCCGCCCCGAGTCCCCTTTGGGGAGATGGTGGCGGGGTATAACTAAAGTTTATTATTATTATTCATTAGATATCATTTTAAATTCACTTTCTTTCACTTTCTCTTTACTGTCCATGGGAACTGATATTGGCAATCTAGATTGGAATTATCTTTAAATGCTTTTAGGGGAAATGGTGTGTATTTGGGGATGGTTTATACTTCTATAAACATTTATCTCTTTTCCTCAGTAAGTTGAACAAGAATGTTGACTATAAAAAACCTGAACTTCTGTATAGGAAATTACCCAAAAAGGTCAATGTAGCTGCAACTCAAGAAGGAAACATCCTGACTACGGGCCTGATTATGAGGGTCTATGTGAGGCGAGGGAGAGAGACTATTTCCTCTTTTAAAAACCTCTTTGCTGCCTTATACTGATTCAGTTTCTTCTTTTATATTGGCTGGGACTTTCCATATGCTGTTAAACCTTTGTACTTTATATCACAGGCAATGACACACTCTTGTGTATAACAAAGTAACACATAGTAACATATAGCCCGAAAAAACCCACAAGAACAAAGTAACACAGTTTATTTATAACTTCTGGCTCCAACGCTTGTGGTTACATTTGTATTTTGTTGCAATCTTGAGGCTTACAGTCAGTATCATTTACTTGGTTAACTTTTCTGAATAAACTATCAATGTTTCATATTCACAAACATGTTACTTGCTTTACACACTCTTGGCTGAATTATATTCCAAACTAAGGCAACACTAGCCTTCTTTATGTTCCTTAAAACTCGAGCTCTATTTAACTAACTGCTTCTCTATATCAGAAGTCTTTAACACATCTTCATAACTGCTTATTTCTATCAGGCATTCAAAAACCAACTCTCCTCTTCACACACAGATTCCTAACTGTCATTTTCAAACTCCTTCACTCTAACTGCATCTTTCAGAACCTTGGCTCCACCCCTTTGGAATGTTCAGCTCTGCTCTCCCCAACTGTCATTTTGGCCTAGCAGCCATTTCAAATCCTGAGCCTACACTAATCTGCATATGACCAATTGGTTTCACATATGCAAATGAATCCTATCTCTGCTGTTGCTACCTTGTCTGTGCCTATTCTTCCCTATCTGCCATATGTAAACATAGAGCTATACACCAAAAGTTTAACATAGAGTAGCAATTTCGCTACAGTCTACTACAGACCTCCAAGCCAGACTTGGATGATGACTGCCTAGAATAGATGGCCAGT